TTCTGCATTAACTGTTGAATAATGATATGTTCAATGGCAACGCGGTAACCAATTCCATTGTTGATGCGATTATGGCCAATTAGGTTTATTCTTTTCCATACATGGTTCGACGAATACACATTGATACACATGTGTACCTTTGAATGCATTCAAAGGATACTGTTTGCAGACAATAGTATACGCTTTTGACCATATGTGTATCGTATATTTTCTGTTGTACCCAAAAATAATCGATGGACAATAAGGTTGAGCGACGATGAGAGGATACCTGTTGCTCAATACAAATAGCATGAAGCGAAAGTCAAACGTCTTAAAGAGTTCATGAAACATTAATGGGCAAAGGTCATTCAATCATTATATCTGACTACAGTACAATCAAATAATCCTTATTATAATTGATGGAAATTTTTGGCGACAATTCCGATCTGTTCATCTTTGGAAGCGCATTTTCGGGAGTTTGAAACTCTCAATAGAAACTCAATTAGCGCTTTGAAAACTCGCTACATTGAGCTCGATGGCTTAAAAACTTCTGAATAAAGTTAAGCCATTCGAATCAGTGCTGAAATTTGGTATTGCGATTCGACGAATTATGAAAAAGGTTCCATTCCACGAGACATGTTTACCATATGGATACAAAATATTGAGCTCGGATTAGACGTTGTCATGATTGTACGGTTTCCACCACAAAATTTCGCTCCCCTCTCCACTCTTTCAAGTCGACAATGTAATGAGTAGCAAACAGATAACGTTTCGAATAATTTTGCGATTAATTTAATTTTACCATACGTCTCAAATGCAAACAAATTTTTGCCTCCTTTCCAATTCACTGCATTCAAAGAATGATTAAATACCCACAAGTAAGGCGGTAAGAAAATCCATAAAAACCCATCGCTTAATTGTTCTTTTAATCTACTAGTATCACTGAATTTGATTATGTTTTTGTGTAAAATTATTACTTCCATATTGGATTTTATTTTAATGAATAATATCGTGGATTTTGGGAGGGTTTCTACGGAATCTTAAGGAATTCCCGTTGAATACTGCCAGGCAAAGTGCTAATCAAAGCAGCTTTATTTCCTTGTAACTCAATTTCGTTTAATTCTAATGAAACGAAATGGAAAACGAGCTGAAGTAAAAGATCTACTCCGGATTTTTAGGGTGGGCGATTTGTTTTGTCTGCACATTTTCAGAAGAGGTGAAAATTCAGAGGCTTTTTAGGCATATATTTTTGTATGTTTTTGGTGATAAAATATGTCGCTGTACGCATAATATCGTTCAAGACTTGGAATAAATTATCCTCGTACGATTACCGGAATTTTGATTGCTAGATATGTGGGTGAGATTGAGATTGGTGTTTGTTTTTCAGAATTTGTATTGGAATAAGTATGTTTTCCAGCGGTGACTGAATCTTGAATTGACATCGATGAGAGAGAGAGAGAGAGAGAGAGAGGGAGAGGGAGAGAGAGAGATTGAAAACATAAGAAATCACCCAAAAATGCTTCGTGGTCGGGTAAATTTTCGGCGAAGTAAAGAAATTTTCAGACCGGAGTAATAACCGATTAACCAAAAATGGCCGTTTTTGATACTAATTTGATTTTATCGTGTCATTAAAATGAAAATCACCAAACCCCAAGAGTGAAACATACTCTACTTTATCAAAAGATCGTCAAAAAAACATACACTACTCTTAATCTCACCCATAGAGATAAAAGACCATAAATCATTTCCTAGTCCGATTAATTGCAGATTGATTGAAAACAAATGCCGCTTGCTTCGCTTGCAAGTTGTCATATATTTCACAATCTATTTTCTTTTTAAATTCAAAGAGATGTCAAAGTTTTACTTGAACCGGTAGCCAAAATACCTTCCGGAGTTCGCGGGAAGTATTTTATTAATTTTTCTTCAAAAAAACATCGAAAATCTGCACAAGGGCGTAATGAAGGTGGAGAAGCTGCTGTGAAAATTTAACATTTGAGGTGATTCGGTAATAGGTTTCACCCAAAAATTAGATCCGATTTTTCATTAGAATCTCAACATTTTTATTTTATTTTATTTTATTAAACACCGCCAGGCTCTGGCTGAATATAATGTGGGTTTTGTTAGAGGTTTGGCCGGAAAAGAGTAAAAGACTGTTACAATTTTTATAAATAATGAACAATAGTAGCAGCAACTTTCGATAACTTTCAGTTCTCGCCTCGTTAAAAACCTGGCTCTTTTCGTAAATTATGAGGTAATCACAATAGTAGGAACATGAAAACGAAAGCAGTCATACAACCAAGATGGAAATGCTTATAGTAGTCTATAGTAAACGGTCCAGGATAACCTTTGGTAAACGTTTTCAAAGGGACAAAGGCTATATGGTGCACGCGCTCAATAGTTCCACTTATTTTAATAAGGAATCTCTATAGGTGGCGCTGCCACATCGTCATTGACATCGAGTCAAATATTGTCAAATATAATAACATTCTTTATATAGGCTTTTATCGCAGTACGTGAATACCTTGCAAAGCCGACGCGTCAATGTTTTTCATCAATCATCATTGACATAATTATGGTCAGTCAGCTTTGATCCGATCAAATGATGTTGTTTTTGTAGACGCTCGAACATACCAGCGCAGCAGGTAAACTTCCATGACTGCGTTTGATATTTGCTTTGTTTATCATAACAACAAATTGCACGCGTTTCGTAAAGTTCAGTACACTTCACATATATATATATATATATATATATATATAGGATATCCAGATGTATAAATCAGTTTCATGAACTGAAAACTCCTTTTTACACTTAATTTAAGTAAGTCCACTTGCAATTTGCATCGCTATGGTTACCTAATACATACGACGGCTAACGAACAACCTTTTTAACAAACAACACATAGGAATTGGATTTCAAACGTGTACACAACGGTTTTTTCGTTCAAAAATAAGAATCAACCTCCCCACAGTGAATTTGATTTGGTTGATATTAATGGATTTTGCATTGAAAACTCGAAGAAGAACCAAACGAAACGCAAAATTGCTCTTCCCAATCAACATTTTGAAAAAATTTCCACATGAAATCGTTGTCACCATCGTCGTTGTGGTCATCGCATTTAAATCGAGACTCGACTCAATTTGAGAGAAAAATGAAGGGAAAAGACCTTTCTTAAAAAAAAGGATGAGAGAAGGAATGAGATAGGGAGAGGGAGTACAAGACGAAGAAGCCAGAGAAAACTAGTGTTTTTGTCAAAAGTCAACATTCAGTCCCATTGGAATGGAATCACATGGACAATCTTTTATGCTCATTTCAACAACAACGTGCGGAATGTGTTTTTTCCCTAAACGTCCTCTATCTATGGTCTATTGGCATGTGCTTGTGCATTGATAACGTGATCGGTTCTTTTGGGTGTATGCACAAATGGTCGGTGAGTTCATTGGAAGCCATGTGCCACTGGTCAAATCATCTATAAATTCGGTGATTTATGTTAAACGATGTAAACTAGTAATTGCGGGAAAAACGTACGCATCAACACGCTAATCAAGTCAAAATCGAACCACAAACTCTAACCGCAATTAGCACTTTATTCCGATCAACATCGATGGTGAATAGTACACTTTTCGTTCACTGGGGAATTGCGAACGACATGTACACTTGGTTTTTAGAAATCACTTCACTCATTTTTGAAGCATTATAACCCATTTCAGCCGAACAATCAATTTTTCCGCATTTTTCTCGTGAATTCATCATAAATTTATTTCTTAATTCTGGGCGAAATGGGTAAAAATTGAGCGGGGAATTTTAGGAAGAATTTGAAAATTGCTTTTAATTATTCTCATATTCATTGGTTTGATCCAGCACAATGCACATTATCATAAGCCACAGAAATGAATATCTACTGCGGCACCAACGCTCTGACCTAGGGGAATTTAACTCTTACGAGTTCAGCATGTTTTCTGCCAGTTTGCTTGATTCGCGGAAGTTCGACGCGTTCGTTGTACGTACTGACGCGCACGGTCACAAGTTTACACAAGTTTGTTTATGGTTTTGCGCGTTTTTCAAGTTTTTATTTGACAACTAAAACGCGTTTCAAACTAAAAATCGGTTGTTTACGTGTATAAAGATTTTTCACATCCTTTCCAAAAGTTCAAAGATTTATATAATTATAAAATGGACAAAGGAAATATTTTTAAAGAGCTGGAGAAAGTGTTGGAAGAAAAAGTTAATCAAGATAGATATAATAAATGGAACGACTGATGTGTGCGCGTCGTCCAGCTTCATGTTTGCACACGAACTCGCACAAGTTCGCGCATGTTGTTTTAATACGGAACTTGCCAACTGAGTGGAATCATGCAAGTTCTCTGGTGAATGAAACAATTTCGTGCGCATTTATATAATTTTTTTACAAGTTTTCACGTAGTTAAATCCCCCTAGGCTCTGACTCACTGACTGAGCCAGTTTATTTCAAAAGCGAGAGTTATTTTCGATAAATTACCCGGAATTCATACCAAAGAGAAAATTTTACGTTGGCGACATTTTGAAATTAGGATTGTGATAAAATCAACGACTCGCTCTTCAAATCGAATTAAATTCATCGCTCACAAACAATCATTTTTGAAGCTTCAAAGTAAAAGTCATGTGTTGTGACATCGTTCCATTCGAACAATCTATACTCACTCAGAATTAATTCGACGACATGGAATCGTTTATTGGAAAAACTTTTTCAAGAAACACATATGAATCGATATGTATTCCTTTTCTCCTTCCTATCAAAGGCTTTTTCTTTAAATCAGAATAAAATCGAAAAGCAATCAGATTCTGCGAATTTTTGTCACTTTAATAAATTTTAATGCGTCAATATTATGTTGTCTGCTGTAATTTTCCAACATAGATATCATTTTCTTCTTCGTCTTCTTCTCGTGTCGCAATTATTGCTTGGAATTAAAACGGTTAAAAAAAAAACTTTGTTCCTCATCACATTGACAAAAAAAAGTAGATGATTCACTCAATCGATACTTACTCGAATGCATTTTGTAATATTTCAATCGTTTTACGTCTTTACTGGCACTTGCAACGAATGAAGGACTAAACAAAAATGTGAACCAATGAAAATGAACGACGATAATTTACATCGATTGCACTTTGATAGACCGAAGATAGTTTTCCAACAATTTAATACTTAAAAATTTGAAAGTTCTGACCACGGGCCGTGTTTGAATTTTTTTTGCTGGATTTTTAAGCCACACTTCTGCACTTCGACGAGGATGAACGAACAAATCAACGAGCGAGCGAGCGAGAAACACTCAAACTTTTATTTACTATACTTCAAACAAATTTCACAAATTTTAACCGCAGTCGAACGGTTAGCATTCGACGCAAAATGGTTCTTAATAACTTTTAAATTGTGGTAGTTTTATGTGGATTTTTGTGCATTGAAATTTTGCTCACAACTCGGCAAACGTCTGTCATTTTCACAATTATCATTTGATGAAACAACTGCACCACTCATTCAAATCGAAAAACCAAATAATTTTCAAATTAAAAATAAATTCGGAAACATTTCTTTTTGACAGATTTTATGCAAATTAAATTAGAATGCGTTGATTGTGTTTGGCCATGTCTTTGTTGGTAACACCATAAAATTTATAGGACAATTGATAAATTGCATTTATCAAATGAAGCGGAGTCGTTTAACTTATTTATTGAATTTGAATATTTTTCCTTTCGTTAAGAGGAGACTCGACGTTGACACGTGAACAGAACACGAACGAAAATCCGGCTGATGTTTCGATGTCGGCATTCAGTAACACACTGAACGAAATGCGGTGCAAGCAGTGGATTTTCAATACAAAATATCCTTTTTTTGCCGTTTAACAAAAAGCGGAAAATTCGTGTGTGAGTGAGTGAGTCAGTGTCGTACGAAAAGGAGGACGCTTTCGATGTTGCGGCACAAAGTGCGTTTGTGATGTGCTTTGCGTTAGCGCCGGTTGTCGGATATGCTGATTAATCGTATGTTGTTGTGCTGTTTGTGTATGTCATATTGAATCGGCTCGCCTCCTCCATCCCTTTTTCGCCTGGCTAGAGCCGGGCATGGATGTTGGCATATTTAACGAAGTACTTGGAAATCACACGCTTGTCAAAGCACCATAAATATTGCTTAATTTATTTACAAGCCCTTGCCAACGCCACCACTCCATCACCTAATCAAATGGCAAAGTAACACAATTTGATGTTTCTTACTTAGATTACTTCCGTCCAAACAACCGGCGATACCGATGTCGTCGCTGTCTATTTTCTTTTGCTCCTACAAACTTTTGGGACGAATCTCTCGTGATCTCTCGTGAGAGAACTGAGAAAAAAAGAACATTAAAACATTCCGACACCAACATTGTGAACCCATCCTGTTGACAAGACCGGTGCACACGTTAGACAATATTGGTTTAGTGACATGATCTTGTTATTATAAAGTCGGCATGTCAACGTCTCAACGTCTGTCTCATGTCCAAGCATTTTGACTAAATAGCCAGGCGTTTAATTACACAGTTCAATGGGTCTTTTTCGTGACACCCGATCTGGAGTCCGATGTATAATAGATTTTTATACCTTATCATAAACTTTTCAAAATCATAACGGTCAAAGATGTTTTTTATGCAATTAGTGTCCATCTAAAATTGACTGCCGAGCATTTTCTGAGCTGACAAAAAATGCATAAGTTTTTGTCCATTTTTTTTTGGATCTGGGAGACAAAAGTTGGTTTTACCAAGGCCCGTTTCCCCTAAAATCGATTACTGATCATTTTCTTAGCTTATTAAAACTGTATAAATCCCATTTGTGAACAATTCATAGATATTTGAATTTTGAAACTGGTGAAAAGTTAAAGTGCTGATTCTTGCTGTTATGGTCCGGTTCTTGTGCAATGAAAAAAGAACAACTATTGAATTGTATTATTCAGCACAGATTCAATGAAAAGTCTATGATTGAAATAGTATATTTTTCTTTTATTATTGATAAGTTTTGTAAATATTTATCACAAAATCTAATCAATTTTCAGTACAACATTGATTATAATCAGGGCATTATTTACCAAACAACACATAAACTATTGAAATTGCCACAGAAAACAAACATTGCTACTAAAAGGTATGATAGACTGCATTGCATCCTCACTATAGATTCGAGTAGCCAGATTCTTATCATTTTTCTACTTGAAGCAGTTCAAAGTTTATAAATTGTTTATCTGTCGATAAAATTGGACATGCTCATGCAATGAGTCGATACAACACAACATCGTGTCGTCGATAAAACACAAAAGAAGACATGATAACCGATATTACTTTTTCGCACGACCATGTCGTGAGTAAAAGTATTGTAATCACTCCAAAACCTAGGTACCCCGAAAAACCATTTTTCTATCCATTTTCGACACAAAAAAGCACGATACAGTGGTTATTTTGCTATGTTAATGTGGGTGTGTCGTACCCTGTACGCTGTACGCTGTACGCAAAAATTTGTTAGCGCGATTGCTCAAATACCTGAATAGGAAATGAAATTCTGCAAGTACCAAACGTTTGTGCTTCGTTAGACTTGGAAACCATTAAATTTTCAGCCACCCCAGATGTATCGTAGGATACCTAGCCAATGAAAAACCTTCAAAAAATCGAACTTTTGTTCGGGAGGTACCCAAAATAGGCTACCCAGGTGGGTTTTATCACTCCCACTCGATTTATTTCGTCAAAATAAAGGGGCCCAGGAATAACCTAGCACCCGCTAACCTACCTTTTTCGTATCAAATCGATATAATAATTCAAAATTTCTTGCATTTTTTTGTTCTTAATTTTGTTAAAAATCGCGCTTTTGTATGAGAGTTTCAAATCACTCCTTCCCTCATCATGTGGTTCTATAGATTCGAAGGGCTGCCATATACTAAATACAATGTAAAAGAAAGACGCGTTATGATTTTGGTCAAGAAAAATGTGGTTATTTTAAGTTGTATTTTTTTCAACTCGTCACATTTTGTTCCAATTTTTTCAGTATTCAGATGACAATAAAGACAATCAGACGTTTTATTTCATTTGAATACCCAACATCAAGATTTTCGGAATCATAATACAATTTTCCATAAAATACATGAACGTACTGTTGTTTTTTTCTGAAAATTCTTATAAATTTCCTAGGCAAAATCTGAATAAAAGCTGAACGCTATGAAAACGGTGCGAAAAAGTTCGTCTTACAGAGGTAAGACTATTTATTTCCAGATTGTTTTGTTCAGGAAAAATGTGTAAAACGTGAGTTTTGAGCATCATTGATGCCTTGAATGTAACGACACATAACAGCGGTTTTTTCATAGCAGTCAATCAAATATCGCGAGCTGTCAAAATTGCAGTATTCTACGTTGTTTAAATGTCAAAGCGAAAACCGCTGTAAGAGGGCGTTACCAAATAACATTGTTATTGTTTTTAATAGAAAACCACTGATATTCAAGGAGCACGGTGTAAAATTCAAGTGGCAACATTTGTTATCACAAATATTGCCATCGGTTTCTTTTCAACACACATTCGCATCGGACACTCCAATTGTGTTGAGTGATTAGAGAAATGTATGAATGTATTGGTGTTCGAATATGGTCAAAGTGAAATGGCAATGACTTAAAACTTATATCGTAGATAAACTAACAGTAATTAAAGTGTGTCTGTTGAGTCAAGATGTACGGTCCTATTGGGAGTCACAAGCAGTTTGTTTCGCACGAACAAAAAACAGCAGCAACAAAAATACCAAAAGTCAACAAAATGTTAAACGTTGAAAATAAGTCGGTAATTATAATTGGATGTGGCGTAGGTGAGTGTAATTAATGGCTTTTAACCAAAGTGAATTGTTTTCCCAGAGACTGAAATAAGAAATTTTCAGAAGATTCGAAATTCCGATTGCAATTTAAAAAACAAAACGGAACTCTGAATTATAGATTAGTTTTTTTTGTATTTGGAAGATTCAATTTGTTGTACGGAAAAAAAAGAAATGTTTGATATTTCCCATTGATTTTTATCATTCATATACAATTTTATTGCCGATCTTGGGAATTATTTTTTCAATATTTATTTATTTATTTATTGTTTATTTTATTCGGTGATGAAATCTGCATAATGTTTATATGCGTGCAATGATTCCAACACATGCTGCCAATTGGCCAATTCCATTATCTTAAATCTATTACCTTTTGTTTACTTTGTTTTTCAAAATTAAGACGATACATTTTCATTGAAAAAAGGGACTATAAAATTGACTAAATGCTCTCTGTTTTAAATAAAATCATCATTAGTTATCATCTTTGTTTAATAAATAATTCTTCATTTCTTTCTTAAAAATATCATTATCTTCAATATTGCGTATTTTCTCTGGAATACTATTCCAAATATTGGGTCCGCCAATATACATGGAAGTTTTATGAAAATTAGATTTCAGTAGATTAACAATCAATTTATTTTGAGATCTCGTATTGTTATTGTTAATTTAAATTATTTCATTTAGATAAGGTGGAGCCTCTTTGATTATTATTTTATTAATCATACTACTAATATGATTGGTTCGACGATCATATAATGTCATTAAGCCAAGTGTTTTTCTATGTGGGGTTATGTGCTCATGTTTTTTAATGTTCAAAATATATCTTATGCACATATTTTGTAGTTTTTCAAGCTTATCACTTTCCCCATTTGTACCATGTACACCATAATTTGATAAATGATGTCCATATAATCAAAAATTGGAATTATAAGGGATTTAACCAACTGCAGTTTTATATCGTTCGGCAGCATCATTTTTAAAGGTTTGATTGTGCTAATCGCACCATAAACTTTTTGTTGAACTTTTTTTATGTGTGTTACTTTCAATATGAATGCCTACTCAGCACATTAGTGCATGCTAGTGCCATGATTTCTTCACAATCGGTGTTTTAGGATATTCAATCATCCAACTTCGATTTCCAACCGAAGTCTTCAAAGAGAGAATTTATTTTGTGAACGCAGAACTGTTTCAAACAACGAAATTCATTGAAAAACTGACGAACTTCAGAATGCAGGTGTACACAAAAAATTCGAAAAAGTGAACAGTTTTTGCGATAACGAATTTAATATTTGCCATATCTTGACCAACAATTTTAGTGTCGCCGTGGCGACTGAAGCGAGGCGAATATTTCGATATGATGTGTAATGAAATTCAATTTTACCTAATTTATTGTAATATTTTCTATCAAAGAGTATTTTGTATGCGTGCTTTGGGCATGCATTTTGTTTCATTTGAAATTTCTCAGGATCCGTAATTTAAAACTAGAGCAGCATTTTTCCGTTCAGAAGATCCGAAAACCGGCAGAAGATCCGGTTATTTCAGTCTCTGGTTTTCCATTTATTTACTGTGTGTGTATTTTTGTCTTGTTTATTTGAAATTTCTTCAGGCGGAACAGCGCTTGCGGCTCGTTTGGCAAGTCGAGGTTTTACGGTTGATGTGTACGAAAAGAATGAGCACAGTGGCGGTCGATTGTCGTTGTTACATGCGAATGGACATCGTTTTGATCAGGGACCATCATTATATTTGATGCCTCGGCTATTTGAAGAGACATTTGATGATTTGGACGAAAACCTATCCGATCATATCGAATTGATGCAATGTGAACGCAATTATTCCGTATATTTTGGTGACGGTGATCGATGTGAGTTGAGTTGTAATTTTGCCAAAATGTACAACGAAATCAAGCGTTACGAAGGCGAAAGTGAGAAAACACTGGTAAACTTTATGAATTTCATGAAAGAGACACATGTTCATTATGAGCGCAGCATTGAGATTGCATTGAAAAATAACTATGAACATTGGTACAATGAATTTCAACTAAAACACGTGCCGAACGCATTTCGTTTGCATTTGTGGAGTACCGTTTATGGCAGCGTAAAAAAATTCTTCAACACAGAGAAAATGCGACAAGCATTCTCATTTCAAACCATGTACATCGGGTGAGTTGGCGACGAATGAAACAAAAAAGACTTTTTTTTCTTGGTTTCAAACTTTTTTCGGTTAATGTTTTACTAAATCCTTTTTTCTAATCATTTTAGCATGAGTCCATACGATACGCCAGCATTGTTCAATCTTCTTCAGTACACTGAAATCGCAGAAGGTGTATTCTATCCACGCGGTGGATTTCACAAAGTTATCGAAGCATTAGAAAAGATTGCAACGAAAAAGTTTGGAGCGAAATTCCATTACAATTCGAATATAAAGAAAATCATCGTCGACGAAGATAATGTGGCGAAAGGGGTTCAATTTGACGATGGCCGCAAAGAGTATGCCGATATTGTGGTGTGCAATGCAGATTTGGTATACGCATACAATAACTTGCTGCCTGAAACGAAATATGGGCGAAAATTGGGCAAACATGCTGCATTGACTTCATCGTCGATATCATTCTATTGGGGCCTATCCAAACAAGTTCTTGAACTTGATGTGCACAATGTTTTCTTGGCCAAAGATTACAAAGCCAGTTTCGATAATGTATTCCAACAACAAATCCTCTCCGATGATCCCTTCTTCTATGTGAACGTACCGTCACGTATCGATGCGACCGCTGCACCCGAAGGCAAAGATACAGTGGTTTTGCTATTGCCAGTGAGTCATATTTCAGCCAATAATCATGATTGCATCGATAAATGGGTGAAACGGGCAAGACATCGTTGTATTCAAATACTCGAAAATCGATTGGGCATTAAGGATTTTGAATCGCTTATCGAAACGGAAATTATCAATGATCCACGGTCATGGGAATCGAAGTTTAATTTATGGAAAGGTGCCATTCTCGGGATGTCACACAGTATTCCCCAGGTTTTACACTATCGCCCAAGTATTCGCTGTGAACAGTTTAAAAATTTATACTTTGTCGGTGCGTCTGCACATCCGGGCACAGGTGTTCCAATCGTGTTATGCGGCGCTAAATTAGCTGAACAACAAATTCTAAAAGATTATGGCTTCATTGAACGTGGACACGACGATATAATCATCATTTCGCAGTATTTACTCTTTGGACTTACAATGACCGCCTTATTTTTAGCCATTTATTACTTTTTCTTTTTTTAACACCCATCGATAATGTTTAGTTATCTAATATCACACACTTGATGATGTAATGTCGAATTGAAATTATGTCTTGCTTTACATACACGTAATTGATTCTCGATTCAAATTAAAACATTTCTCCGCATTGTGGTTTGAAAATGTAATAATAAATATAATAATTTGAAACGAATGCCAATGGAAATGCCTTTTTTTACATGCTCAGTCTGAAACAAGTGATTATACAATCATCATTTGCAAACAGTTTTTGCCGTAAAATGCTACTCAGTTACAATAGAACCAGGCAATTGCGCAATCAAATCGAATAAACAACACTTGCTATAAGTTGAACACTGAAAAGAAACCCATTGCAGTATTGAATACACTTCAGATTTATGTAACCCAAGTATATACTTGACACACGTCAAATCCAACCGAAAACACTCGCATTATTTTGCTCTTTATTTCTCTCGTCCAATCGAATCAATCAATTCCATTTTTGTTCTGTATCGATTCAACAATATTCAGTGAATATTATTCACGATCACTTTTCTCGTTCGATTTCTTTCTTTCTCTTTCCTTTTTTTCCTTTTCTTCTTTCTGCGTGTCTTTCCTTTCCTTCTCTTTCCTTCACACTCTCCTAATTTCTCTATCTGTTTCTTTCTCTTTTTCTCACTCTTTCTCTCTCGCTATTTTGTGCCTAAATCGGCCTCTTTCTGCCTCTTTCGGTCTCTTTATCTCTCTTTTCATCACACCCAATCTTAACTCACCCACTTTTTTGCTTCTTCATTCTCTTTCTATGTCCCTTTCTCCTACTTTCCCCCATCTCTTATTCTTTCTTACATTCCTGCTCGTTTCATCCCTTGTTCTCTTTTAACATGTTTCAATTTAGCACCGAATGTAAACAAAAACCATATTAAGACATTAGCAGAGGTTCTTTGAAGGGATTGATTTCAAAACAAATATATAAATGAACTATTAATTAAGTGAAATGGTACCTTGTACCTTGTCTCGTCGATGTTTTCATTCTATTGTAAATCACTGTGACGGTGAGTTAATCAGGCGCGTGACATTCCGAATACGAATCTTTACTCGGTAGGCTACAGGCTATATCTCTGTAGATGATTTCCTGGAATCATGTCCGGGAGTGATATTTAATTCTAGGTCTACTTGTGCTATGTTACGATAATTATTCTTTGATGTGATTAACCCTTTGATGCACAATTTTTTGTTTTTGAATCATTTTGATATATGTTTTGTGCCACGATAAATAGAGAAAAACCTCATACTTAGATTTTTGAAAAATTGCGTATTTGTCGAGAAAATCGGAAAAGAGTCAAAAGTGTCAAATCACTATAAAAGCTTGAAAAAATTAAATTTCATAAAACAAATGATGCAGAAAGTTAAATTGATGTGTTTTGGTCCTAGGAGTCCTAATTTGACAATTGAAAAGAATGAACAAACCCACAAGATAAGAGGAGGAAAAATGTGGAATTCTGCTATAATTTCGCATTTTTTTTACAGCAGTACATGAACAGAAAAAACTTTCCATTCAGCCATCCGATTGTAGCCTGTAAATAGACTAAGAGCCAGTGATAGTAGACTATCACCTCATAAAATTCCTGGATCATAGTACTAATAAAATGATTTAGTCAACATAACAAACAAGAAAGTATTTTAGAGCACAAGAAAAAAATATGTCCTTCTTATTAATCTGCGCTCCTGGTAAATACCAAAAAACATGACAATAAAAAATTAAAATTCCCGTATGATATTTTTACAACAAGTTTATTGAGGTAAAAAGAGCACAAATTCAAAATATCCGCATTTAATTTTTTGTCTATACATGTGAATTTGAGCTTTCTGTTAAGCTGGTCCGAGCCTCGAATTTGCTTGGTTTTGACAGCTGTATATTGTACATTGGTACGATGAGTGCGTTCAATACAGCTGTCAAAACCAAGCAAATTTGAGGCTCGGACTAGCTAAACAGAATGGCTCAAATTCACATGTATAGACAAAAAATTAAATGCGGATATTTTGAATTTGTGCTCTTTTTACCTCAATAAACTTGTTGTAAAAATATAATACGGGAATTTTCATTTTTTATTGTCATGTTTTTTGGTAAATATCCAGGAGCGCGGATTAATAAGAAGGACATATTTTTTTCTTGTGCTCTAAAATACTTTCTTGTTTGTTGTGTTGACTAAATCATTTTATTAGTACTATGATCCAGGAATTTTATGGGGTGATAGTCTACTATCACTGGCTCTTAGTCTAAAAGTATCAAATGAAAGCTAGTTCATTTCCCTACATTTGTTTCCAAACAAGAATGTAAAAATATTCAGTGGTTTCATAGCTATAGCGTCTGGCGTATCTGGTTACTTTAGGAACCGAAATGTGATAAAGGGTTAAAATGAATATTTATAGCTTTTTACACTTTGTTCAACTGAAAGGAATAGCGAAAATAAAAGTTTGAGACTTGAATACATTACCTAATACATGATATTTCTACATCCTTTTGGAATTAAATGATTGGTGTGGGAGCCAATGACGACTACCCAATGAAATAATGAAGAAATGCAAGTAAAGAAAGTGAGAAGTCGTTTAAATATCAAACGAAAAATTAAATATAAAGTTAATTCTTCTTCGAGTCTCAAATCACATTTTCTGTACCAATCACTCAAAGGCAAAAAACATACAGTTTTTTCAATACTTTGACATTCATTATTATTTACCTATCAAATCGTTAATATCGAATAATAAACAGCAGAAGGAATAATAACGTTTCAAACAAAGGATAATATAGAACCTCTGAGCAAACCAATCTTGAATGAAACCAATAATGCAGCTGCTGAACAGAGAATAGTATCGTTTATGCGAACATAGAAATCCCGATCAGAATTGACGCATGTTTTACAATCACGTGTTGCCCAATATTCATAGATGTTGTGCTATTCGAGCCGTTTCTCCGTTCATACTACGTCACACAATTTCATTGAATGAAGAAATTTCCAGATTTAAAAAAAACTGTTCCTGTTTCCTCTTGCCGTTTTTATAAAGTTTCCAAGCGGAAATTGTTTTGGTTGCAAAATGTTGCGAAAACATAAAACAAAAAAGTTTGTGCTTGAATGGATGAAATTGAGCCAACTTTTACCCAAGCCTTCTGGTTGGGTAAAAGAAGAAGAAGAAGAAGAAAAAAAAGAAGGAAAAAAGAGACGACAGAAAGTGGTTATCGTTTTCTCTGTATAGATTATTACTTGGACGGAGATGAGCATTTCTGTACTTGATTCCCCTTATAAATTGAGAACGTTCATAAGTTATTCATTCGCCAAAATGGATAACAATAAAATAAGAACACGAAAAAGAGGAAGACGTAAAAACCACATAAAACTCAAAATATCACTAATTGTTGGATGGGTATTGTGTCGCTTGCGAATGGCGGCCATTCGACTCTTTCCTTTGTCTGAGCTCGTCTTTTGTTTTCGATTTGAACGAAGAAAAAAAAACCGCAGCAGCAGCGACCTAATGGGAAAATGTCCGTTGCTTAAGTCTTAAATTGGTCTACTTCTTTCAAATGACTACGAAAAAATGAAACTCTCAGCTTATTCAAAAAAAGAACCAAAGTCTATACAAAACATTTTGTATATAATATCTTGCCTACTTGGAGGCGTTTTTCTCATATTTTCAAAACCTATAATTATTTTTCGAGTGTCGAAATGAACTTTTTTTTTGGTCGCTGAAAATAAAATCGGTTGCAATTCGGTTTCGTTCATGCAGAATTCCAATTTTTTTCACAATTTTGTTCTTTCCTTATTTTATTGCTTTGTTCTGCGTTGAAATTGCAACAGACATTTTTCGTATTGTGTGAGTCGTTATGTTCTTATAATTATCATTTATTATTCAGTATTTCGTATGTCGTTCATATGAAAGATTCACTGGAATCAACCGTGAAATGTGACATTCCGAGAAAAATCGTCAATTGTGACGAAAACTCTCGATTAAATGAAATTTTCGGAAGAGAATTTAAAGGTACAATGGAATTTTTTTTTTTGAAAATGAACTTTTTCAAGGCGAAATGAAAGAGTTTTTGGATGAAAGAACGACAAACAATTTTCGGTTAAAAAGAAGAACTTTTCCTGAATGGATCGCGTTTATTCTCCTGAATGGGCCCCGTTTTGTGTGCCAAATACAGAAATGAACAAAAGATTGTGTATGATTTGTGCTTGAAATACTTTGTAAGAATGTAATAAATTCGGTGGGCAATTCCTTGACGATATGGCTCGGTTCAAGGCTCGGTTAAATGCGGAAAAAATCATTATCTATTCATGACATATTGTTCGTTTCAATTGAATTGAGCATTATACTTCTTTTGACATTTTCAATTAAAACCCGTGCCTCTTTATTACTGATTTCGATTTTATTTACGCTCATCATTCTGACGTACACGTCGGCCTATGTGGATGAAATCATAATGTTTATGAAATAAATCCATCCATATAAAACGCAAATATTTCGTTCTCGGGAGGAAAACACGACTACTATCAATGGGCAACTGACTCTTTTAACTTTTAAGTTTGCTTTGTTTGTGTTACAATGCGATGGATTTTGTTGGACAGCAACGAGTGAGATGGAACTTTTCTCTTTCTAGCGTAGAAAGGAAGATGGTGAGAGATGGAGTGCAAGAGGAGAGCGAGTGACAAAGAGTCGTCAAAAGAAGTGTGTAAGAGAGAGAAAGAGAGAGAGAGACGCAGAGACGGCAGAAGAGGGACTGAGAGAGAGTTAAAGAATGAGAAGAAAAAGGAGAAAGAGAAGCAAACCAAACAGCGCAAGAGGCAAGATAGCAAGAGGTAGAGAGCGAAAGGGAGAGCCGAAAGCGAGAGCGAGAAAGAATCAAACAGTACGGGTAAGAATTCATGTTTTCAATCCGCTTTTGTTCATTGTATGCGCACTTGAAATGTACATATTTTGATAGGGCCACCGTCGTCAAACAGCGCACTGCTCAAACAATGATTATTTTTACGAAAGTTTTGAGTATTAAATACGGATAAATATCCATAATGTGTTAAATCTGTGCAAATTTGCAAGTTTTCACAAACAAAGGTCTAAAGTCGTTTCTCTCTCTCTCTCTCTCTCTCTCTCTTTGAATGCGTCTAATTTCTGGCCACGATAACATTATCTCATCGTATGTTCACTTTGGTTCTTATTCAAACAAAAGTCAATTGTCAAAAAGTTTGCGCACGATGAATTGCTTCTGGTTCGTTGAAATCCACACCAAACGAATATGAATTTTCAATTTTTTTTTATGAACAGCAATTTCCGTCAATGTTTTTTGTTTACATTCGTGAAGACGTTTGACATTTAGCTAGCTATTGCAAATACACTCAGCAAATAGAACGGCGAATTGTAATTACAGTGTGTCGTTTATCAAAATAAACACAATCACAATGCCAAATATTATGTCATGTTTGGACAAAGACCGACACAGCAGCAACAACAACAAAAAGCCGCATGTTTAAATGAACATCGGTCGATTAGCTCGCAACTCTTGTGCTATGCCCCACTACCAGGCAAATCATTTACCGCTGCTTGCACTCACCGTGCTCAACATACAGCGACTCTGCTTCTACAGAGAGCAAGGCACAGACGAAAAAAACAGCAAGACAGAGAAAAAACGCGGCAAAAGAAGCAGAAAAGAAAGGGAGAGTGAAACAACAACATCGCCTTTGATAAATCAAATACACACTGGACCGCACGCTCGATGCTTTGGTCACGGATTTTTCAATTTATTGAATCAGATTTTGTTACGACTTCGATCAGAGAAGATCAAATCTTAACAGGTAAAGTCGAACAATTATTTTATTCGTTTTTATTTTTCAAACTCTAACTTTTTTTACGATGAATTTCAATATTTTTGTTCGGATCACTCATGTTGTATCGACACAGTGTCATTTGAATTGTTTGCATACTACGCGACGACACTCAATCGGTTTTACTTCTATTTTCGTTTGTGACTGAGATGAATAGGTTTTTTTTAGTTGAATTTAGCTGTGTGATAATTTGAAATTATTGATGTTGACCAGCTTATAAGTTGATAGTTGATTTCAATAAGAAAAGAGTAAATTTTATTGATACATTTTAATAAGAAAAGAGAAACATCGCCAAATATGACCGTTGAATCGAAGCCATGGTTTTTATGCAATATCGCACGCCTTACAAAGAGAAATGTCAAGTGAAAAACCTTGGCACTTTAGTCGGCAATCGAAATGCAGCTGTCACGAACGTTTCGTCTTCACAATTCTCTTCAAAAAATCACTTTTTCGCTGGGTATTCAAAATGATGTCAATGTTTCCACCTTTTTTTGCAATCATTCGCTTAAATAGCCTTCTCTTACAAACAGTCGCTGTGTGTTTACATGAAAAAAAAACCAACTCCAAAATCAAAATAATTCATTAACATAATTTACAGGATTTCTTGGAAACACCAAATCGCCAACACACTTTTGTGGTAAAAAAACAACCAAAACTAGACAAAACAAAAGTCAAAAGTATTTTTTTATTCTGATTTGTATATTCCCTTTTCATTCGTGACCAAATATAACTCGTTTAGAACGAAAAGTGAGTTTGATAGAAAGTAAAAGTGTTGTCTGGCTAAAACTAGTTTTGCGATTCAATCGAATGGCACACATCTTAGATTGTTTGCTATATCAATCATTGTTATTATTCTATTCGAATCGCTATGATAGCAACCGCTTATCTGAAACCAAATACTAGTTCTACATCGTTCTCAATTGCATGAATGATTTATACTCATTTTTAATTATTTCACACGGAATGAGATAGCTCACATCAGACGCTCCATATTTACGAGTAGCACAATAGCGTTTTCACGTTCAATGGAGTCAATGTCAGTCATCAGAGAAAACAAAAAAAAAATCAGTTGGACAGACGCGTTTGATAGAATGAAATTGTGTGTTGTGTGCATCAAGATTTAAAATGCAAAACATAATTGATTCTTCCTTCAACTGGAATCACGCCATATTTTTGACCAACTTTGCCAATGTGATGGTTTGATATCGACTTTTTTTTTCGCCCAGTATCTCCCAATCAAAATGTCAATTAAATCAGTTCTGAGAATTTAAATTCATTTTGATGAATGATGATGCTAATTAAACGCCCGTGCTTTTTTTATATTTGATAATCGAATGAACTTTTCTACGTATTTTTCTCGTTTTGGAACACATTTGAAAATTTTTTGCTTAGTTTTTTTCAGATCTATTCTTTCCACGCGCTGATTTGTGTCTATTTTTTGGAATATTTTTCATTTATTTATTTCTTTCATTTTTTTTGGTTCCTTCATGATTTTTTCAATTTATTCCGTCTTTTTTTCATCAATGATTGGCAATCAACTTTTTCCTCCATTTTTTCTCCATTTTTTCCCCTATTTGTTCCGAATTATTTTCTAATTGTTGTGTGTATTTTATTTTTGCCAGATCAACATTAAGCAAATTTCACCTTGACCAAACAAAATACCCAATAAAAATACAATGTTTTGCCGTGCATTCGTGACGATCGCACTGATTTGTGCTATTCCATCGGCATATTCGTATTCGGCCGGCGCCCCAAGTGCAGCGTGCGAGGATATGGTACCACAGGTAGGTTTCATTGCCGTTTACACGGAATTTTTTCATAATGCACTCTCATTATGACGATCTGGGGTGCTCATTATGACGATCTGGGTTGCTCATTATGACGACGCTTTTTTCCCTATCCACAGCATCACGTCGACCCACAAAGATCGACGCCACCATACAAAATGCTCTTGTCATCGAAAGGCGATACGGTGCATGTGAAGATCCAAGGCAACAGTGCGGGCGACACGATTAAGGGTTTCATGATTCAAGCTCGCAAAGATGGCAAGCCAATTGGCAAATTTGAAGTTCCAACCGAATTCAGAAAGCATGCTCAACCGTTGACCTGCTCAGGACCAGCTGTAAGTTAACAATGTATTTTATTCGAAAGAAAAAAAATCATTTTTTCATTTTCAATTTTTTTTCTGCATTGATTAATTACGTTCAAGTGACTGTTACTGTGTTGACTTACTTCCTAGGCAATTGTTCTGCTAATTGATATCGTTGTAAAATTATCCAAATTTTCTACATTTTAGTTTAATTCAATTGTTTCAATTAGAATAATTGGCCTGTGCAATTGGTCATTAAATCGAATCACTAGCCTCGAATTTTGCGATTGAATGATGAGATTTGCGATCTTTATCGAAGGAAAAACTTCTAAAAAAAAGAAAAATTCAAGCAATGGCTGAAAAAAAAACTTCGGAATTGACACGTTCTAATTACGAACCGAATAAATCGTTGTATTCTGACAAGCGTCCATTTATCATCTGAGCAACGAACAAAGAATCAAGACTCAAATCAAACGGACCGATCAAAGAATCAACATCAGTCGCTAGTTTACCCGACCGCTTAATGTACGCGAATGATGTACGAAGAAAAAACCAAAAACTTATCTCTCGTGCACCTCTGGGTCTGTTAAGTCCATATTAAATTTTACACTTCATTTCATTGAAAATCGCAATTTGCGATGGGTTGAGAACCTTGAAAATGATTTCTCGATTCGCCACATAAAATTGTTTTGCGTTGGGTTTTTCTGCGAAACAGAACAAAACAAAAAAATACGTTCTCCATCTGTCAGTGCTCAATACTGGTTTTTTTAAAATATATTTTATGGGACTGACACATCTGACTGTGTGCACGACCATTTGTTTGACTATTTAATTTGCAATTCATCATGTCTTGTGGCATTTCCAGTGACTCTTGCCTCTCTCTCTATTTTTATTGTCTTTTTTCGTTATTTATTTCTTTTTCGCTATCGATTCGGTGTCGTGCATTTTTTGGTCACCTCATTCGATTCAATTCTATAAATAATGAAAAATGCACACTCATCATAAATAATCGCAAACAAAATTAAAGCCAAATTTGCATAATTTGTACATTAAAACACCGGTTTTACACACATCTTCATGAGTGTATGTCAGTAAAATATGTTTTCAGCTACTTTGTACACATATTGTTGACTAGTTGTTTACTCTTTGCTAGCAGTGCTAGCCTAGTGCTTCATTAACGAGATCAATATCGATTTAATTGTAATTCCATGAATGAATGAATGGAAAAAAACAAACTCAACTGTGTTAAGAACAAATGTGCACGGAAGTGGAATATACGAAGTGTTGAAGGTGTTTAATGAGTGCAAATAAAAAATTTTCCGTCTTTGAAGACAGGAAAAATCATTCCATATCGTGACTTGACCAATTTTGCTCCATTTTTTTTCTGTTTGAAAACTTAACTTTGTTCGTTCTTTTCCTCATTCCTTTTATAATAAGAATAAGAGCCTTATTCTTCTCGTTCTTTCTCATTTATTCATTTTTGTTCTTATTCTTCTGTAGTACGGAATCCTAGGGGCAATTCACTAAAAAATTGTATTACATTTTCAGCAGCGTTGTATTACTTTTGAGTGGTTTGCCCTTGACAGAATCCGTACTTTGTATAACCAACCCGACGAGAAATTTGCGGAATATCGCATTGCGACTATTCTACGTATAGTCGCAATACGAAAAAGTCCGTCGAACGCAGCCAACTTCACGTTGGTTGTACGAAGTTTCAAGTCGAAATGTCACACTCGATCCAGTTACAACTTCACATTTATCGCAGCGCGAATAGTCGCAGGGTATTCAGCGATAACATTTTGCGGCAACTTTTTTTGTGGATACCTATTCGCATTGCGAGTATCCGCACTCAAAAACGGATATGCGACGGATAGTCGACGTACACCTATTTTACCGCAAATTTCTCGTCGGGCAATCAGTTTTTCTAATTACATCTTTGCAAACTGAGTTTGTTTGCAAAGAAAAAAAAATGGTTTTACCCGGAAATTCCGTTTATCACTCAACTTTAACTTACTTTTCTTGTCTTTTTCTAAATAAATAGCTCCAATTCCATACTCAAGTGGAGTAAATGGATTCATTGAATTAAAAATGAATTTCATTGAATTCTCGCATTCTGATCCGAATAATTAATTTGATTTTTCCTTTCTTCTACTTTCAGGATGCACTGACACACAAGAAGATCTTCGCCAATGGGCCAAATAAAATTGAAGCTGACTGGACACCACCACCAGGTTTCAAAGGAGATGTTAAATTCGTAGCAACGGTCGCACTAAACGGCGGAATTTTCTGGGTTCAAGCTATTAATGAACCAATGTCCATCGCTTAAAATAAGATCTCTTTTTTATGATGTTCAATGTTGTATGCTAAGTTAGCACTGCTAACTATGTCCCATTTTAAATTTACATTGATCATTTAGTTAATAAATTAAATGTTGTTTTGGTATCAGACCATTTAGTTGTTGAAATACTGATAAAATCCGATGCACAGACAAAGTACACAAAGTACACCAATTCAAATACAATCTACTTGAAATTTGACACGGAAATAAATACCATTTTAATGACACTCGAACGATTTTTGAACTCGTTCTAGAAGGTTTAATTTGTAAAGGTTCATTAAGAAGACTTTTCTGATCTAATAGGAAAAAGGAAAAGGAGAATATTCCAACAATATGGTCATAGAATTTTGGCAACAACATTTTGGGACTATGGCAATAGAATACCATACCCGGTCAGAAGTGTGTGTATTCATAACAGTCGAGAAGTTTGCAACAATAAAGCGCGCGGCTAGCATGGAAGCTTCCATCAACGAAGTATAATGCAAAGTCCATGTGATGTGTCTGAAAGTGCGCATCATTTGTATTTATGGCATTTTGACAAATCCACTGAATATTTGCGGGTCATGTACCTTTTGATATGCATGAATGCATCCACAAACTCTCGAGTACTCTTTTTTTCTTTTCTAGGTTCTGGACAAAGCAAGGCAAGCAAGCAAAGAAAGCAAAGTGTCATCAAGCAACGCCGAACTTAATTGGAAATGTGATACATCCAATTCTAATTCAATGCTCAGGTTAGAGCATAATCCTTTCGTGCACGCAATTCGATATATTGTGTTTATTTGCTATGAAAATAGAACGAATCTAATTACGACACTGGCTGAAGACACTGTCACCATCATCATCGCACACACATGCTCAGTGTGACCCTTTCTCGTTATCATCCTTTTTTCTCTTGTCAAAACCACTCATTTTTCAATCTGAAATAATTCAGACGCTGCAACGAGAGAGAGAAAAAAGAGTCATCTTGTCAGTTAAAAAAATGCTCAATTTTTTTTTTCGCCAAACAGAATCGATTTGATGTGAGAAGAATAGACTTTTCCCTTGAATAAGTTTGTACGTGAGAGAATAAGTCTAGATGGTAAAGAATAGAATTGACTGTGTTTCAAAACCAGACTTGATTTACATTTTACGGTAGAATTATCACGTTAATTCGGATTTTTTTTCTCGGTTGAATTGAAGCGAACGACCGAAAGAAACCGTATCGCACAATTTTATGTCGGACAATAAATGAAATTATGCCATTTTCAAATGAAAACAGTAAATAATAATTAATCTTTCTGTGATTGAAAAAAATTGCCATTGATGTCTGCGTATTATTTGGTTGAATTTACATCGACTCCAGCAAATGAAGGCTGCGTCCTCATTCAATCCTTTTTATCAATTGGCAAGTATTTTCTCCGCACCCCCTGACGTCTCTCTATCTCTCGCTCTGCTTTTCATTTGCATCGATCACGTGGAATTTTTGCGCGTGCCTCGATTGCGTAAATATAATATTTGAACGTATGCCATTCACTTCAATTGTTTTTGCATACCCATATTGCATCAATTGTAATATTTATTTATTCAACGTTATTATAGCGGGAAATCTACAATGACGACAACACAGCATCCATTTTGTTTGTTGAATCGATGTCCTATCCACTTGATAGGCAAACATTCTTGAGTCTAGGTGGCAAGCGAACGATTTCACATGCAGAAGAGACCATCTGATATGAAAATAGAAGTAGCGAGTGAACCAGTTTTGTTACTAAACAAATAAACAATCGTACAGTTCAATGCTTTTTAAACAATGAATCCAATGCGTGACGTCAACCAATTCCATAAGATGTGATGCTTTCCTCGAAATAGAGAATATCGAATATTGTAAGCTGAAACTTAACATGGTTCACTTTTTTTCACTCGCCTTCTTTCTCTTCGTCGCATCATTATAATACAGGACAATTTATGCCCATTTGGATTTTAATTATTTTATTGCGTTTTACGATAGCACGAATTGACGAATGCAAATTTATGGCTTAATTAATCATTTTGATTGTCGCAACAGGTGCATAATACTCATCATGAGTATTATGACTACGTGATTTTGTAATTATTTTTTACAATATTTATTTTCGTTTTTGCATTGCCCGATATTGTAGGTATATTTTTAAATTGTTTTTTTTATTGAATTACATTTCGGGGAATTGTTAAATGATGATGTTGAAATTATTCCATTATTTTTTTCAATATTTTGTCGCACTATTCATCGTGGTCATTGGTCAAAATATTACGAATTTTGTACGGTAAAAAAAACAAAGTTGAATTCAATATCGCGTTGCATACAATGAATCGATGTTTGAACAGTGTCGGAATCATCCAATTGATGCCCGAATTGGATTAAAATATTGCAGATTTTTTTTTTAATTAACGCGAATCGCGTCAAATTTATTTGAAAAACAAACAAAAAAACAATTAAAGAATAATAATTTGTTAGGCTTTTCAATTTTAATCCAATGTCATTTAATTGCAAATGATGTTCAATACAGATTGAATTGAAAATATTCCCAAATGAAAGAACGAAAAAAAAAATCTGTGTGAATGTTATTGATAAATTTAAATAAAACATCATTCTGCACAATAGCAAACGTTTTATACGTCTATTAAATTTATTTTTTCGAACATTACAAATGTTTTTTCCTCCTTTTCTTTTGTTATTTCTTTTGATTTTATTTTAAAACCCAAAATTGAATCGCCTGGATCATTGTAAATCAATTAAAAAAAAAAATAAATAAATAAAAAATAGAATCATGTTTCAAATTACGTTTCACATTGATATCGACATTTGGACAAAAATTTAAAAAAATTATTTAATCTAGTTACACTGCACCGAGTTAGTGTCACCAACAAAATAATGGAATGAATTTTTTTTACCCATATTTAATATGATACAAGTGGAATGCTTCATATTTTTTTTTCAAATTATTTCATCGATGAATCTGTCATCAACTGATCAGGACTCTAAAATTAGGTTTGGTGACCAAAAAAAGACCAAACTTTTGTCTTTTTTTTGGTTGAAGTGAGAATAAAAAAATAATTCTGAATAAACAAATGTTAAACACCAATTGAATAGGTCAGACGGACAATCGAAGCTCAGGTACAGATATTTAAATCATTCACAACTGCAGACCAATAGAAAACGTACTGGCAAATTTTCGAACACTGTTAAATCTGGGCAATTAGTGATTAATTGGCGCCATTAGCTGAAAAATACTTCGTTTCTTTGGAAGTAATATCGAGTAAATCGTTTGGACTATGCGTTGAATGTGCCGCTCATTTCTGTTATTGACAATGGTAAGTGTTTATGTTGCTTGAACGAAATCTTCATTACCACGGCCGTATTCAGCCATACGCTTGGGTGAGCTCAGCTCACCCAAAAATTATTTGAGCTCACCTAAAAATGCTCGACTCCCAAAATTATTTTAGCTATAGTTTTCGCTGTAATTAAGAATCCTCTGAAAAATTTTGCTCGCTCCGCTCGCAACTAATTTTTTTTCATTTCAACATTACACAAATTATATTTTTATTACACTTAACCAACATAACTGAAGCCAAATATGATGATTAAAGTGTTGTATTGTCTTAACCCGTACGTAAAATGAAAATCAGTACAGGTTAAGGCAAGTTACGTACGGGTTAAGGCAATACAAAACCAACAACATGAGTTACGAGTACGGCGATACAAATGACAACAGAGAATGATGATTAAAGTAAAAACATTTTGACCACATCAATGCAAAAGTAATTGGTCAACTATATTGAAAAATGTCCGAATTTCTCTAATTATAGTACGATTTTCTAACTGAATACTGAAAATCTATATTTCTGTAGATACGTAATTTCTAGCGAATCGTTTGAGTTATTTTCCTATTGATAATAACTAATTTACAATGGCTGTGGTGTGTATTGGTTTTTCAAGAAATTTCTGCATCAAATTGACAACATCAACACAGTGTAAACCGTTGTCTTAAATTGATATGTTAGTTCTGACGTGGCATATTATAAAGTTCAAGCAATACAATACCAATAACAATTTCAAATTATTACAGACACTAAATTGAATCTGATGGGATTAAGAATCCTGACGATTCGCTAGAAATTACAAATCACGTGTTTCACCGTGATATAGTGTGAATCTGTGAATGAAGCGTTTTTGGAATAAAAGGAATAAAATTCCAAAGGGTTGGGATCTCTATAAAATCACATTTTATACATTATTTGATTATTTGTGGCTTTTACTCTAGACAGAATCGATTTTTAAAATTAATGACATTTTCATAATCATCAAATTTTGCTGCGCTCACCCAAAAATTCTCTCCGCTCATCCAAGAAATTTGTGCTGGCTACGGCCGTGTTCATTACTTCATTAATTTAATGCATATGCAATGCATAACGGGTGTACAGTGTACACTGCACAGTGCACAACCTTTCTTGGCTTTAATTTTCTATTTGACTCATTGCGAGCGTATGTATCAGAAGCGTAAGAGGTGTGACGATCAAAATGATGAAAATTACTGTTGCCTTACGTACGCATAGACAACACAAATCAATGTGTCCCATTCATCAACTGAAAAAATATGCGATTTGTATTTCTGCCAATTTTTTTTTCATTCATTTTATTTGAAAGAGAAATTGTTGGGCCGATTCCTCGCTGTACTGCAATACGAGGCCAACCCGTGACAGAGCCGAAGCAAGCTTCTGCACTCCATCTGTTTCCAAAAATCAGTTTAACATTTGTTGTCCACCAATGGTGGAACTATCAGATGTTAAGCTGATAAGAACAGATACTACACTTTGATCTTAGCCTTTAGGCCGAGAAGCGATACCGAACCATAGTTTATGCATAGTACTTAACAGTTTTGCTTATACGTTGCAATAGCGAATTATAAGAGCTCACCGAACGAAATAAAACCAACAAAATGTTCAATTCATAATGCGACAACGATGTTGAAAGAAACACTTCGTTTAATGTCGCAATAGAATTGTGAATACTGAATATATTCATATATCCGTATATAGATAACTCTATGGGTGAGATTGAGAGTGGAGTATGTTTTTTCTTCGATTTATATTTTTGAAAAGGCGAGTATGTTTTCTGATGATTCTGTTGGCGTTAAAGTAGAGTATGTTGTAGTACCGTCTAGCCTCCGCGGTCTTCATGGTTTTCGCGCAACTGATAAAAGATAACAACATGGTGTCTTCGGCAAAGTTGTAGTTCTTGAGGTCTTCTATAACATCGCTGAAGACAGTTATCTCTTATCTCTTATCAGTTGCGCGCAAATCGCGCACATAAAAAAGCAAATTTTATATAGAACTTTTTTTTTCTTATCATTTTTCGCGCTTTTCGCGGAACTGATAAGAGATAAGAGATAACTGTCTTCAGCGATGTTATAGAAGACCTCAAGTGCTACAACTTTGTCGAAGACACCAAGTTGTTATCTCTTATCAGTTCCGCGGAAACCGTGAAAAACCGCGAGGACCCGCTAAAAACAAACATACTCGCTTTTAACCATTTTTAAGTCGACAGAAACTTGCTCTTCTCTTTCGTAACAAAGTCAATCAAACATACACTACTCTCAATCTCACCCATAGAACTATCTAAGGCTCGCTTTCATTTAATCGAATTGCTTTCGGTCCCGCGCTGAATATCGATTGAGAACCGGAAAAAATTGATTGAAAAAAAAAATTTGTAAAGCAGTGTGATATGTTTGAGAAATTATTCATCATTCAAGTCGTTGTAATTCGATTAGATGAATTAAAAACCGTGTCTTTTTCATTGAAATATTATCAAATGTATCAAAAATGAAGCTACTCATCAGTTTGGCTTTAATTGCTGTTCGGCATGTCGCTGTTAACCAAGCATAATTGATACCGAATGAGAATCAGTAGTTCAATTCGAGCCAGTCTATTTACTAAAAAAAAAAATCAGATACTAGGAAAAAAGAGTACGAGGATGAAGTCTATGTCATAGACTCTATGATGCCATCGAAAAACATTCTCATCTAGGACACCAGACAAAGAACGGCCAAGCAAGTGTTGATGTGGAACAGCAAGGCGAAATAACAAGTGGGAACGCTCAAGTTTGGTCGAGTATGAGAGAGCATACGAAAATGCAAAAGTCGAAGTCAACGCCAACTATGGTCACGATTCTAAAAAAAAGTGGCTCGTAGCTAAACTGTGAAGCCAAAATTGGCATTTCATATTGCTCGTAATACCTCAACGTCAGCATTAAAGATAATATTTTGTTGCTATTGATTATTGGGCTCTCTAGTTTCAAAATATAATTTGGAATTTATTACGAACAAAATAAATATAGAGTTTGAAGTTGAACCAAAGAAAAATTTCCTTTAAAAAATATATTTTTTTCAAGCGAAAAATGTTCTATGTAGAATGTACATTTTTCGATTCAACAACTCTTTTTCACTTCTCCTGTCAAATACAGTTGCTTACTATCAACAGCAAAAACAAAAAAGCTATGACAAATTAACCATTATTTTTTCAAATATTTTTACTTCATCATATTTCGTATAAATGCGAGAAATACATCTTGAAGAGCGGAGCAATCGATTAATCAGCAATTAATGAAATTGAAACGCGAGCACGCTTTGCTTTGCTCAATGTTATCTCTGTTATTTAATAGAAAGTACGGTGCCCCGCTTTATGACGTCACTCAAGCTGATAAAGTTGCGATGACTCGTTCTCGAGCATCTATTCCTGCGGTGCATAAAAATATCACGAGATGTGATTTTTCGGTCATTTGAATCGCGATGAAATGAAAAAAGTCCCCCTAACTCAGTCTAAATCTTAATGAATGTGATGAGAGTGTTCAAGTGATGCCAAAAATTGGTGAGATCATCATTCGTTCTGCGTAATTCCACGTGAATTTACACGGCTTGTGTATTTCATTCAAATAAAATAGGGAAATTGGGAATTTTGTTGTTCATTTTCATTTTCATTTGTTTGGCATTGATTGATGGTCAATCGAGCGGTTGCAATTGATACCCAAGAAGGATCAGCACTTCAATTTGATTCAAATTATAACGAAGACGACGTCTACGATGTTATCGAAAAACATTCGCGGCAGAGACGAGCCAGTAAAAAACAGTCTTTTCCTAGTGCAATTCTATCATATGCTTAGAAAGAATAATATTTTTGTCGTTCTGGTATTTATTCTGATGTTTGTCTAAAAGTAAGACAAGTGGTAACGTTAAAGTGCGACACATGCATTTATTTACATTTTTCTATTTGTTTATGCTGCACCAATAAACGCCTCAATTTAGTCTCAAAACTTTCCGAATACGTTCATCTGTATTGAAGCATCGCTTTAGCTACATGCGCAAATTATAGACGACCAATCGACACCGCAAAAGATAAACACAAACATTATGTTGTTGAATTTTCTGGATAATTCTGTAATGTCAAACGTTCTAAATTAATATTCGAATTTCGTTCGTTAAAAGTGCCCAAAATGAAAAACAAAAAATACTTTTTTCAATTGATTTATAAATAGCGAAATATATAAATATTAATTTCACTATAGTGAAAGCAATAATAAACATTCCTAATCTATTTTCACATATATAGTTTTCTTGGAATAAATTATTGAAAAGAATAATCAATGGCAGACAAATGGAAGTTCATTTCACGTCGATTAGATAACATTTAGGAGTTTTTTCCATGACCAAAACTAAAGATCATTGAAGGGATAAATTGTTGAGAAAAATATTTCATTTCATTTCAAGTTGAACGCTGAACGCAGATATTTTTGTAAATAATATTTGTTCACTTAATTAGCAAATGAAACATAAATTTCATCCCATATTACCAACAATCTAGAAAAGAAGCTTTAGATAGTTATACATATAAATATGTATTCACATGCTGCAGATAAACGAATTTATAACTAAAAAGTAAACGGATTGATGAAACATTGTGTAATTATTCTTGTTGCATATGTTTACATTATTTGCTTTGAAAAGAAACCAACTTCAGACCTGTTTACATTTCAATTGTAAGTGTCATATATGTCAATATATTTTGATGCGAAATTTTATTTACATAATAATACCCGCTCAGTACACAACTAAGTAAAAGTAAGTACTCAAGAAATTATTTGATTAAACTACAATCAAAACCGATTTTGTTTGTTAATGAACAAGCAATAGACCATTTGATATTTTAAGTTAATTCTCATTGCTATTCAATTTCGTTGCACATTTATGCTTGATTACAGTAGAAATGCCCTTTTCACAATTTTGAGCAAGTTGGAAAAAGTCGATTTTGCTATTGTGCAATTTCCAAAGTTTTAAAAAGGTCTCTTCTTTTTCATACTTTTAGGTGAACCTTTCAAAAAGAAAATCGACAAATTGGCTCATTGGTTCGAACATGGAGAATGCAACCAGCTCCAAAGCCACCAACTTGGAACAAATCTTGCAGCAAACTGGACTCAACGAAGACTGTTTGGTCAATATCTTCAAATGCTTGAGTGGATGCGATTTGGTGACACTATGCGATTTGGACTATGAAAACGATACATCATTAACGGATCTCATAAATGACCGTGTGATCAGCTCATTGAAAATCTATGATTTTGGACGATTACCAGCCAGTCACGTGTTTCGATATTTCGGTCGGTCACTGCAACGATTTAAGGTAAATCAAATTGATCATTAGAGATATGAGTTCAATAAACCTAATTCTTGTGTGCAATTTGTTCCAAAAAATTTAGCTACGGATTCAAGCATTCAGCGTTTTCTTGGAAAATGTCATCAGATACTGTCAAGCACCAAGCCGTTTACGCGAAGTAATTTTAGTTGTGGACACAGATTGCCCAGGATTCAATTTTGATGACGATCTATGGGATCAAGTGCAGCCAATGTTTCAAAACCTTGTGAAATTAAACATCATTCATGTAACGTGTCGGCGAGCATATTATTTCATGCCAGAATTCTTCGGTGAACTTGATGATAATGACAATCTAAAAACGGTAACACTTGAACATTTCTATAGAAACAAAACATGGATGGAATTTCTTCCAAATCCACAAATGTGTGCAAACATCACCGAATTACGATTGATGAATATCCGATTGAAAGAAGGCATGAATGAATTCCAAGAGATTCTCGATCGACTGCCAAATCTTAGATGAACTAATTGCTATCGATGAACACTTGGGAATATCTGGCCTTGAAAAATTCACCAATTTAACCGAATTTCATTTGAAAACTTCTCAATGTCGAAATTTACACAGTCTCTTCCGATTCGTGCCAATTATCAAAGTTCTAGGCATGTGGCAAATGGACACTTTATTACACGCTCCAGACGAAGTTCGCCGGATTGCAAAATCGATCCGACAAACCGTTGCCAATCGCAGTGACCGATCTCCAGCCACCGATCATGTTCATCTTCTTGTTAACCGGGCTCAATACAATGATTTCAACGTGATCAAAGATAATGATTGCAGTATACGCCTTACTATAAAATGACGTAGCAGTTGAGAGGAAGACATGAACCAATTTAACTACATAGTAGTGCCACATATCATGCATTTGAAATGTACCAAAAAAAAATCGTTCATTTTGATTCGAATTGTATGTTTTATTGGAAATAATCACAAATAAAAATAAAAACAAAATCAATTAGGTGAAAGCTCAATTTTTCTTTTAT